GGCTGCCGGGCCCGCCCGCCTCAAGGTCACGGCGTCCCGGGGCCCGGGGCCTCGCGCTATAGAGCCAAAACACGCTATAGAGCCAAAAACGTATATTTTTATRATTATTTATAATATAAATGTAAGCGGTATGTATTATTAGAGTGAGATTGCAGCAGAAAATCGCTGTCGGAGCGGAGGTGCCGCTGCAGGGCAGTGCAGGCGTGTCGGAGAAGCCGTTAGTGCAGCCCCCATGGGCGCCCTTGGACCATCTTGGAGGGATGGGAAGGGTCTTCCTGGGAGCTGGAGGTGTGGAGAGCCGTGGGAAYGCGGGAGAGGTGTGAGGATGCCCTTCGGAGAGCAATTCCTATATCCAAATGAGCAGAAAATGGTCTTTGGCTTAACGGCTGTGACTCTGATGTTCCCTCCGGGCAGGGATTCACCTGTGTTTTCCCTGCAGGATGTTGGCCTCGAGGGCGTTCAGCCTCGTCGGCAGGAGAGCCATTTCCACTTCCATCTGCATGAGAGGACACGGGCAGGGTAGGTAGCGGGCAGGGTAGGTCGCGTCTGCCCTGTCTGTAGAGTCGACGGGGTTKAGAGTTGAGAAGAGCTTTACAGAGCGCAGAGTGCTGCTGCTGGGAGCTCGAAACAYGGCCAGGAATCTTTGCTAAATTCAAGGTGTTTCCTGGTATTAAGTCAATAAGCGAAAGATGCTGTAAACAGTTTGTCTAGAAATGCAGTGTGGGAGGGAATTGCAGCGAGGAGGAGTATAACGTTTCACTAGCATTTTTGCATAAGAATCTGATGCATTACAACCTTAGACAAATAACATGAAGCTTGGCCGCAGGATGTAGGTAAGTACAGGATTATGGAACCCCCCTGCATCTTTCTTGTGGCAAAAGCAGCTTTTTGGCAGCGCCTGCTCCCTTGGGAATCCCTGACTGAGCRTCTCCTCTGCGGCTTCCAGCTAGGAAGGGTGTCCTAGGAGCACAGGACTGCACKCCAGGACCCGATTTCCAGGCACGGCGTCCGATCCCATCGGCTTCCTTGCCGGCAGAGGGCATTGCCGAGGTGCTGGCAGGGATAACGGCGACTGGGGCGTTGCAGGAGCAGGATCCTGGCAGGAACTAGCTTGGAAAAACGCGTAGAGTTCCTAGAGAATCAGGGTGACACTTGGAAACAGAGATGTCTTAGAGTTTAAAGTCACTTCAGGTATCACTTATCATGTAAATCCTCTACTCTTATTTTTATACTCCTGAAGTAACAACTYATTTTAAGAACTGTTTCTTTTTTTCCCTGTTATAAACATGGATGAGACTAATGGGATAGACGGGATCTAAGCGTTACCTGGGACTTACTTTTTTCACTTCTGGGCCTCCTTAACTATCACTATCCATTTCAGATTGCCAGTATATGTGTATTTTTTTCAATATTAACCATTAGAAGATGTCTTTGTAACAGTCAGAAACTCGAGCCAGTGTCTGTTCCGTTTCCCTCCGCAGCTGGTGTGGTGAAAGCCGAGGACTTCAGCCTTCCAGCATACTATGATCGCCGGGATGTCCCCCTGCCTGAAGTGGCCTTTGTGAGGGACCTCTCTGCCCAGCAGAAGGCCCTGAAAGAAAAGGAAAAGGCCTCGTGGACTGCTCTGTCTCTCGACGAGAAAGTTGAATGTGAGTAGTGGGGGCTTCAAGTAAACCTGACAGCTGGCAGTGATGCTCCCTGGTCTGTTACAGGTGCCTTCCTGGTGGCTTTTTGTAAAAAGGCAGCCATGGAAGGCATCAGGATTGCTGCGGGTTGCTTCTAAGCCCTGCTCTTCTAAATGCATCTGCAGGCAGAGGCTTGAGCTAAGAAGGAGCCATTAAATGTGATGCAGCTCCTCGTGTTTGCTCAAAYGCAGAGCAGAGTTGTCGTCTGTAGCTGGGATTCTTAGTGCTCTTTCAGAATCTGRCACCTGCCTCGTGTGCCTCACATCACATGGTAGACAGGACATAAAAAATTTAGCTAGTAATTGGTCACATTCAGCAATTTCTTCTTAAAAAATCTCTATATTTCCTTCTGGCTTCCACTCAACCTGTTGAAATGAAATGAATGTGGGCTATTGCTAACAGTATGTAATTTTCTTAGTTGAGCTGAGTAAAATGAACCGTGTGTTACCCGAATGTTGTTGATCACTGAGCTCAGCACTGCAGAATTKCAGCCCACTGAGGCGCCAGGCAGGTGTCCTGACTTGCAAGTGAAACTGCCTCCTCGTTTGTGGCTGTCACCGTGCTGTGCAGGACATCCCGTGCTGGGTGGCATCCCAGCGGGGTCGTGTCCACCCACAGCCTAGTGAGAGGGGTCGGGCTCTCCCTCTGGGAGTCCTTGGATGTCATGAGCCCTCTCCGAATGTAACGCTGAGATGTGGCCCTTACTGGCAGAGCCAAAAGCAACCTTTTTAGATACAAGTATCCTGGTTGAAATGATTCATGTAAGTGAGATTTATGGCAAATAGCTGTACTGGGAGTTGTGGGGAAGGAAGGGAAAACTCTATTTCTCTTTCTGCCAGGCCTAATATGTGGCTTTAGCCAACTTTGCCGTCATACTTTGTGTATAAAGTAGGCACTAACACTGATTTTACTCAGAAGGGATTGGAGAAACACAACTTGTTTGCTTTGGCACAAGTGTCTTGCTACTGGCATGGGAGAGTCTGGCTGAACCGAGAGTTATTTTTGCCTCCTTCCCTTTCAGACTGCCTTAGGCTTTGGTCATCTCCCTCTGGAGAGTATTTTGTTGCCTGCGTATTGTAGAGGAAAAAATGAAATAAATGGTTTCATGTTTTCTTTTTCCCTCCCACTCAGTGTATCGTATCAAGTTCAATGAGAGCTATGCAGAAATGAACAGAGGATCGAATGAGTGGAAGACCGTCCTTGGTGGAGTGTTCTTCTTTCTTGGCTTAACTGGGCTCTTCCTTGTCTGGCAGAAAATGTATAGTAAGTAAACAACAAACAGTGACAACTGTTTACTTTGAGGGAGATATCAATTAATATTGAATGAAGAATTTGAAATCATCTGCAAGCTGTTTGGGAAACCAGAGTGCTGCCTAGAACAGCTGTACTGGTGACAATTTGGCAATTGCCCTTTGCTCTCCACCTAAAACTCAGTTCTGCCAGTGTGGCTTAATGGATATAAGCAATACGTAGCTTAAGTAGTCAGGAAGGTGGCTGTAGAAATGTGATGTTGGTGGACAGAGTTTTGAGGGAAGAGAGAAAAGGGAGGTGAAAAAGTAGTGATAGACTCATGATTCCAGAGCTTTCCCTCTGTGAAATCCGGTGTCGCGAAATCTTGTTGCCTTCCTGGTAGTAAAAGTTTGGGACTTTGCCATGTCTGGCTTCCTGCCCAGGAAAAGATCCTACCTGGAGGGAGCCCTGCAGTTGCCGTGAGGCAGCACGTGCAGCTAAATGAGCTGCTCTCCAGCTTGAGCCTCCACCTGCTCACAGCGAAGGCTGCGAGAAGCTGTTGTCTCTGTACCTGTTTTTTACTGATTAAGGGAACTGTTGGAGCCTCAACGGAGGAGTCCAGCTGGTCCGAGCTCAGCACCTCGGATTCAGATTTAGGGAATCTCAGTTGGAGCAGGTGCTGGCGCGTGTGTGATCGACACTAATTGCTTCCCTTAGCAAAATGTTTGCCTTTAGCTAGCAAAAGTTGTACATCTGTTCCCAGCTTGTTCATCTTGAATCCCGGTGTAATTCCACCTGCTTTTGAATTGCAGTGTATGGCCCTATCCCGCACACCTTCTCCGACGAGTGGTTGTCCATGCAGACGAAGAGAATGTTGGACATGCGGATTAATCCCGTTGAGGGCATCTCTTCCCAGTGGGATTTTGAGAAGAACGAGTGGAAAAAATGAAGCAACTCAGGGGWACCTGCCCTGCTTGAATATGAAATGATTCCATCACCCGCGTGTGACCTCGTTGCTTATGTACTGGAACAACCTCCACCTAAATAGATGCTAATAAATGTCTGGTTAACTTGAAAGTTTGCTTTTATTGGTCTTCAAATGCTTCTGTTGTGATTGTAAAGTGTGGTGCAGTTTTGCTGAAGAGCATTTGTTTTATATATTTTTTTTTTCCAAAAGGTCTTACCATAGTTCTTATATGAACAGCATTAATGAGTTAAAGGGAACGAAACACTTGTGTTTCTGAGGAGAAAAACAAGATTAAAGTTAGTTTGAAYGGTTTCAGTATTGGATCTTGCATTTATTACCCTGGAACTGAAGCAGCAAAGTGTCACCTGTATCTACAGTGAGTATTGTAGAGCCTTCAACCTGGATACCCTGCTACTCTGGTGCTATATTCTTGGCAGAAACTCTGCCTGAGGGGGAAAAAAATGTATTTAGTTTCTGGGGCACAGCCTGAAGTCTTGCACTGTGCAGGGATCTGAACTACATTTAAGGTAAGCAGATTCTGACTCCTGGGGAGACTCAGTGTCCYATAACTTGATTCCGAAAATAGCCCGTCAGCGCTCCAAAAGGCAGTGGTATGAATCGAGCTGCTTTGGTTGGTGGTTTGACAGGGATAAATGCTGCTCCATTCTTTTTGTAAAGGGAATCTGGCTCAAAATCCCGGTTCCTCAGCTGCTGCTTCCAGCTGAACAACACGGGAATGTTCCAGCTCCGTCCTGCAGTGTCGCCTGGAGGGAGGAAGGGAGCGTTAATAGCTCTGGCTTGGGCGGGAATAGGCTTGGATGAAACCCCAGAACTTGGTTGCCTCTCCTCTAATTTGAGCAAACGTGCAGAGTTTAACTGCAGCCTCAGGAARGGAGGAAACACCACAGGTACTGGGAACATCTCACATCTCTCAGCAAATGCTAACAGCGTGAGCGAGCTCTGCCTGAGGGCGTTTAGTGTTTTTCAGGGCTTAAGCTTGAGGATGGTGCTCCTGTTTGCTGTGATCTGCTGGATTTTTCCCTTTGGGATTGCTCCTTAACGCCAAGGTATGTCCTGACCTTTCCATGGGCAAACTGCAGGCTTCTGGTTTGCCATCCTAGCAGGCCTCCAAAAATCAAATTTCCTCTAAAAAAAAGGCAACTTTATGTTCAGTTTGGTGTTCCTGTTCCCTGAACATGGTCACGGTTTTAAGTCCATTTGGGCCTTTTTAGCTGCCAGGGCAGAAAGCCTGGGGAGTCTTCAGCCCTTATTCACTTGTGCTGCTCTGCTGTGGTGGGGCTGCCCGGCCTTTCCGTGTCATTACAGGGGCTTTTTGGGGAAGATCTCAAAGGTGAGATGATTCAGCGGGATTTAAGGGATGAGCTCCCCTTCCTGCCCCTGAGATCTTTTGCGTAAAACGTCTCTCCGGCGTGCCAAGAAGGATGTTATGAAGAGGGCTGCGAGTTACGTTAGTGGTAAAGTGGAAATGATGACAAACCTTGTGGCTTGTGCTTCCAGGACGTCTGGATTTCATGGAATTGGAGGTAAACCAGGCTTCACCTTGCTGCTGTAGCAGGATGCATGGGACCTGCAGGGCTTTCCCTGCCGGAGATGTTTGGTTTTGCTCCATCTTTGTCCAGCTTTTGCCTCTGACAAGCTGATAACCATGAAGTGAGACAACATCTTCCTTTTCTCCTTCTCTTTTGGGACCCTGAGCATTTAAGGAAGGGATTTCTTCTCCTTCCCTCATCACAACCACGATGYCTCCCTGATGGGGTCAACTTACTGATGGTTGTTGCTCTGCTGAGCTTTAGGCCTAGCAAAAGGGATTGGTTTCTGTTTGTGTCCTTAAATAACCGCTCCGGATATGTGCTATCCAGGTTAAAATTAGACTCTGGAGCTCGCAGGGTTTTCCGCAGTGGGATTCCTCCCTGGAAGGCTGTTCTCCTCATCCCACCTTGGTTTGTGCARTGACCCCCAGGGCTGCTCCCCAGCTTTGCTAGTGGTGCGTGTCCTTGCAGCGGCTTCCTGCARCCCTACGTAAAATACTCTATACCASCTGTGAGCTGTTCACCAAATCCAGCTGTTTGCACCCCAGATGTTGTGAATAAGGAACTTCTCCCTCCACCTCGTGTYGGGCACAAGGCTCCAGCGTGCGGCCGCTCCAGGGCAGGGATGTTGGGTGCTGGTTTAGCACCCYGGTGCTCGGGCACGTGGTGCCCAAGGGCAGCTTGCAGCCCCCTCTCCTTTCTGTAGCCAAGAGCAGGGCGCAGATTTGGCATATTTGGAGACACCTCCCGCAGCATCCTGGCCAGAGAAGCAGTCTAAACAGCTGCTGCTATTTATAATTCCTGTATAATGCCTGTTTATTCCCAGCTGGTAGAGGCAACCTTGGAAACAAGTCAGAGAGGCTTTTGCAAGAGGAAGGTGAAGCAAAGCCATGGGCTGGCCTCTGCTCAGCCCCTGGGACCCTGGCAGGCTCCTCGTGCTTCGGTGGGTCCTGTGTGCCTTTGGAGAGGGATCTGTTTGGCGAATGCAGCTTCCAATGGGATTTTTCCATGAGGCGCAGGTGGATGGAGGAARGATGCGCTCGGCAGCGGGATGTGCCAGTGGAGAGAGGTGGTTCCTGCTCTGCCTCCCRCGTGTTTGGTGCCTCAGCCCTGCCGAGCTACAGGCAGTGCCAGGGAGGGGGGCGCCCGGGGTCCCTCCTGCTTCCCCCCTGCAGCAAATTCTGTGTCTTCAGGCAGCTCCCGCTTAGGGACCTTGAAAAACCCAGAAGAGCCCCGTTTTGACTGCAAATACAGGGCAGCCCCTTGCAGCAGGGAGCAGCGCTGGCCCTGCCCAGGGACCGAGCAGTCTCCTGCTAGGGATATTTCGGAGCCCTGGGAGGCGAGAAACGCCTGGATGGGAGCTGCAAACTTCCCTGCAGCAGCACTGCCCTTTGTTCTGATGCACGGAATATTTCCTTGCTGCAGCTTGGCCCGTTGCCCAGTGTTTTAGCCCCTCGAGGATGCTGCTCCCGGCAGGAGGTGATGCAGTGAGAGGGAGCTCTTCCCTGCGGGAGCTCCGGGAATGGCTGCGGGATCCCAGGGAGGGAAGGCCGGGCAGGGAGGCCGGTGCTGGCGGCGCGGGGGCCACGAGAGGGCATCGCCGCCCCGCGCACGGCGGGCGCAGAGCGCTGGGGGCACCCAGGGGTGCTGCGGGGCTCGCATGGGGGCAATTCCCACATCCATCCCTAGAGGAAGAGAGGAGCGATGCCAGCTCCGATGGGGTGGGTGCAGCGGGGACAGGCACGTTGGTGCTCCAGTTCCATAGGTGTTTGTTGCGGCAAAGGGAAAAACGTCCCCCCTGTCAGTGCTGCCCTGTCCCTTGGTGACATCTGCGCTGCAAAGGGGCTGTTCGGACCCCCTTATTGCAGCTCCCCCCGGAATAAACCAGCGGGGAGCCGGAATACCGCGGAGCTCGTCCCGTCGGAGCAGCCCCGTTGAGCAACGCGGCGGCGGGAGGCGGGCGCAGGAAGGAGCGGGGGGCACCAGAGCCGGGCCCAGGAACGGCCGGGGGGGCAGCTGGGGACAAAGCGGCCGCGCTTACGACACGTCGGGGGGAACCGCGCCCGGCCGCCCGCTTGAGCAACGCGCCCGGCCCGACCCGCTCCGGCCCGCGGGGAGCCTGGGCTCGGCCCGCCTCGCAGCACCCTCCGCCCGGCCCTGAGCGCCGGCGCGTCCCAATCCGCCCGCGGATGCTCCCAGGAACTCCCGTCCTGTCCCATCCCCTTGCAGCCGCTTGGATAGGGATGGAGCCTCTGGGGTGGATAGGGATGGAGCCTCTGGGGTGGATAGGGATGGAGCCTCTGTGGTGGATGGGGATGGAGCCTCTGTGGTGGATGGGGATGGAGCTTCTGAGGTGGATAGGGATGGAGCGTCTGGGGTGGATAGGGATGGAGCCTCTGGGGTGGATACGGATGGAGCCTCTGTGGTGGATGGGGATGGAGCCTCTGGGGTGGATAGGGATGGAGCTTCTGGGGTGGATAGGGATGGAGCCTCTGGGGTGGATAGGGATGGAGCTTCTGGGGTGGATAGGGATGGAGCGTCTGGGGTGGATAGGGATGGAGCCTTTGGGGTGGATAGGGATGGAGCCTTTGGGGTGGATAGGGATGGAGCCTCTGTGGTGGATAGGGATGGAGCCTCTGGCTTGTTCCCC